CCATATATTCGTACTTTGACGCGAAGCGCTGTGGATTATGAGATGCTTGATGACCCTGGAGGGATCGATTTTGCTTACTGAGCAGAAAATCATGGACTTAACTCCAAGCTCTTCCACAGCACAATAAATCGCCACCATCATTTGTATATTTGATATTAAACATTAGCCTCGGAAACTATTTGCATATCAAGCGAAAACGTAGTCCTGTATTGTCGAGAAGCGTTATGGTTCTGAGATGCTCGATGACCCTGGAGGGATCGTTTTTGCTTACTGAGCAGAAAATCATGGGTTTAATCCCAAGCTCTCCGTCATGACTTTTAAAATTCATGATCACTAAACAAAATGAATATGTTCTTTCGATAGCCGGCTATCGAGAGATTAAATAAACAACAAATAAACAATACATACTTTTGGTTGCATCGCCAACTTGAGGTGAATCCTAACCGAATACCCTACCCAACCCTCCAAATCCGTAGCACTTATGAGGGCGTCGCTAAGTCGGTGGCCTCTCGTTAAGTAAGTACTACATCAACATTTCCTTCCCTATCCCTAGTTATGGTAAAGATGGGCGTGGCCGGGAATAGCGGCAGTCATGCTTCTGTTACTCTTGTTTAGATTGGAACCAATGTTTACTCCCCAGCATTATTCCTGAAAGTAGTCTAACTGAGAATTTCAGAAGAGACGTGAGTGTCGCTAGTATCCAATCTACGAAGTATATCATAACAACGCTAACGCTAACGCTAACGCTAAAACGCTTTCCACACTCCACATTCCGATTTATTTCGAGGACAACGGAAGAAGGAAAGATAACGTAAACCATTCCTCGATACATTGTTGCCAAAACAACTTTTTTGCCTCCGCTTATCTATGGAATCTATAGTATCTATACTTAGTAGATATCTAACGACGAAAACAGTGGTTCCGCGTACCCTTCTTCGCCAAAGGAAGAGGCTTAAAAGTTTTGCGGACATAGCGCAGGAGTGCGGCAAGATCACCGGCTATGAATATTATTGTTCCATTTTCCATTGAGTCCGACAGTAGTTGTGCATATTTCCAGATTCTAGGAATTTGATGCCGGATCATTCAACGGCTGCGGGAGGTAGAGGTTCGGGTAGAGGGCTTTTTCTTAAAAAGTCGTTTGCCAAAAAGTCGCGAATAATTACTAAGCGTCAAGCTGCTGCTGACAATTGCACATTGCACATACATACATACTTCCAGTTCCAGCACACCGAATGATTCATGAAACGTATCATGCGACACAACCCTTAACTTCTTTGAATGGGAAGGTAAACAAATGCTGGTTGGATCGAAAATAACTAGCAAACTCTGAGCAATAATCGCAGTCGAGATAAAAACACCAACTAGTATTTATCCTTGCTAGGTTCTGCATCACGACATGGATACCACGTTCTCAGAATCAATGCTCAGTATGAACTCAACGAGGAATATTCTAATAAAAAAAATACCGTAATCCTGATAAAATAGAATTATAACTAAAACATAACGATCCGCACTATTCCTTACAAAATTCCAACAATACTCGTTTTTCCAGGATCTAAAGACTATCGTTTACTACGTCAAAGCAACATACGAATATTTTCATGTCATTTAATACGTCGTATGGAATTGTTTATGTGAAAATTCTTGATTATAATTATCATTTTTATAATCCTTCTATTCTAAATCTCGCAAATAAACAAAACTAAACTAAACTATTATAATCACCAAAGTGTTCCGATTGCCAATTGGTGATTAATATCCGATGGAAATCGAGTGCAAAGGAAGCATTTTTTTGATCACCAATTAAAATACATTCAGCCTAAAGATAATATTTAAACAGTGTGCATACATAAGGGCGTAAACGCTATGATCGATTCTCTTCGTTGATTTTCTCATTTGTTAATAACTCACTAGATTTAACGTTTCTCGGTGCGTTTGCTGTTACTTTTGATAGCCAATACAACCTGTTACAACTCTACATTGAACAAATTCTAGAAAATTGTTTCGCTTAGCTGCAACAATGCAAAGAGAAAATCGATGAAGAGAATCTATCATCGCGTATACGCCCTTATGCATGCTCACTGTCGATATTAGCTCTATTATCAAGATGCTTTTTGGAAAACCATTCAGATCAATTACATATTTTATTTAAATAACATCATTATTTTAACCCGAACAATGCATAAGGGCCTATCTACATTGATCGATTCTCTTCGTCGACTATCTCTTTCGTTAATAACTTGGCTGCAAACACGCCTCTTGCTGTGTTTGTCGTATAAATTGCTAGATATTAGCTTCTTTCGTCAAACTGATTATCGAAAATAGCCCGAAACGATTGTATATGGCCGTGGCGATCCAAACAGAAAATCATTCATAGAATCGATCCATATAGTTATGACCTTATGTATTGTTCGGGTAGATTTCAAACCTGACGGTTAAACTTGTTCTACTATAAAATGAGCAGGATGAGTGTCCAATACGTAAACCCTTAGCGACATGATATTTTTGTTGTCTTGACGATCATAGAGAAATCACTAGCAACATGTTTTGATTGTCAGTACAAAATGACAGACTTTTTATCAGCAGTGAATGAAGCACATGCTTTACTGAGACCTTAACGATTTTTCGTTCTGAAAATTCAATGCAAGACTATAGTGATTCTCTCACTGATGGGTGGATTAGTTTTCGTTTCGTTTTGACTGAATAAGCTCTTATTCTGCTGCCAATGTTTGCTAATGTAGCGAGATTTGAACGTAACTGTTAATTTTTCCTAACCCACTTCCCCCAGTATACCTTAGTATATTACCATTGGAATTGCTTTTAGCATTATTTCATGAGTGGTGTTTTGCATTAAAATCACCATTGATTGCTCAACGGAGTTTCATGAGAAGGGTAATAAAAATATTTACCTTTTATTTTGCATTTATATGTCATGGCGGCAGGAGAAAGTTTCTCCAAATCGACTCCAAGCAGATTACAAGGATCCGAAGGATCGAAGAGGATTTTTTTCAAATCGATGACTTAGCAGGAATACCTCGGATAGGATCCAGACAAGGATCGAAGAGAAATAAGTATAAAACAATGTCGGAATTGTATTTAGTAATGAGAAGTTCTGTTGAAATTTTTCGTAACTGTAGGTAGCAATAATCGTGGCAATAACACTTTCCTCAGCAAAATGAAAATAGATCCACATGGCAAGAGAGCACGATGCTGATTGGATATGAAAATTGTATTTTTTTTTAACTTATATAAATTGTTTTCATATTCTCGTTTATGTTTATTTTTTACGGATTTTAAATGGAAAATACATTTCGAATGAAAACGAGAATATAGGAAATAATTCGTGATTTGACTCGCCCCTAGTTTGTGTTGTGATCTCAAATTTGGTTCCAATCCTACATAGGGTAGAGCGCTACTTCATCGTAATCGCCCATTTCCGTTCTATCGACCAGAAAAGATCAATAATATCAATGATTTCACCGTGCACAAATCAAAAATAGGTTTGTTCCGATGCGTTAGTTCATTAGCTACAACATAAATTCTGTTAGAGCGCATTGTATGCATATTTACGCTCATTGTTCTCAAAACAAAAGAAGCGCCCCTAGCGAATCCCCTTTTTCTACGTTTATCCGTAGGACGAAGAAAATCTAATGGCGTTTCAATGCGTTAGGACGGAATTGAAACTCGTAGAACGAATTTAGAATCAAGAAGCAGTGTTAGATTTTAGACAATATCTCAACAATTTGTGACTCTTTATCAAATCCAACGGTACTTATAGAAAGGTGAATAAATTTGCAAGTCATCTTTCACAGAAATATTTCATTTTTTGTTGAAAATCGTTCAGAAAAGAGAGGTAAAGCGCGGGTTGTGCTTAGTAGGACGGAAATTAGATCAAAAACCCTACTGCTGCTATGTTCCTAATTCTATGATTTAACTAACATACATACACATTAAAATCAAAACAATTATTCACCTTATTGAACACACGGAAACATTAACAATGGGCTGTTGTGACGGTAGCTGGTCTTGAGCGGACGAATCGCTAGGAGCTGTCTACCATGAATCTGTGTAGATAGGCAGTAGAATCGTGCCTCGTTGACTAGTTCAGAACAATCTATGTTACTAGTTAACAAATCGAATACAGACATGCGTTGGATTATAGAACGCCTGAACTGTAAGGTTTCTAGTTCAATCTACAGCGAATTGCATACTCGGAAAGATTTGAAGGGTCGTTCCAGGGAAATAATCTCAACGAGTAATGGATTAAGCTTCTCTGCACTTTTTCAATGTGAGTTATTTGCGCGCGCACAAACTGCATATTCTATGATACTCCATGATACCTCTCAGTACTAGTGAGCAATATAATGCTTTCAGCGTATGGATCCTGGAATGTTTGGGAATTACAACGTATGAAGCCAAGAGCAACGAATCCTTTAGCGGTGACAGTGCGGATATGCTCGTTGAATTTCAACCATATTTGTAGCAACTTGTTCCAAAAAATGAAAAATAAATCAATAAAAATATGGCAGAATTAGAAAGGCTGTACACATCCTACATAAGGGCAAAATCGAAAAACTGAAAATCGCGTTAACATAATTGAGTGTATATGCCTAAATTACGATACGTTCGTTCTTGTTTTGAGGACCTCCCTTAGCTCAGTCAGTAAATGCACAGCTACAAAGCAAGACCATGCTGAAGGTGGCTGGGTTCGATTCCCGGTCCGCTCTAGGAATTTTTCGGGTTGGAAAATTTCTCGACTTCCCTGGGTAATAGAGTATGATTGTGCTTACCACACAATCATACTAATGCAAAAATGGCACAGGCATCGAAAGCTCTCAATTTAAGAACTGTGGAAGTGCATCTAGAACACTAAGTTGAGAGAGCACGCAATAAGCTAATATGCCATACACAATAAGCTTGAAATACGAGGAAGAAGAAGAAGTCGTTTTTGTTTTAGGTAAAGAAAAACTAATTGAATTGTTTATTCGAAAACAATACTGATTTAAGCATTTTATTGTTTGTAAAATAATATTAAAAAAAAGGGGGAATTTGTTAACCACAGACACAAATATCTTCATCTCATCACCGAAGGAGCAAAACTATGTGTTCTTTCCACAAAGCATCCAGCTGGGACAATTTCAACAATCTTTTCCAGCTTATCCTTTGACGCTCCACAGCCGTATATATTCAGGTGCTTTAACTTAGGGCAACGTTGGATCAATTTGGTAAGATGATCGCTCGTTACCCAAGAGCAGTTTATCAGCCTTACGATCACCAATTTTGGTGGCCAAATTGGTTGGGCTCCACCGTGGGTCACCTTTACAAATTCCAACTGCGTTAGATCTTGAAAGTGATCGAAGATTGGACCGATAATATTGTTTTTTGCTCTGCATTCATGCAATCGTAGTTTTGCTAGATTGCACATCAGTCGGGCCAGGTTCAAAACGAACTGGTTTGACGAGAATCCGAAGAATTGCAGCGATAACGACTTAAGACTTGTGAGTTGACCAACACTTCCGCTAAAATAATCCACGTAGATTTCGTTCCTAATCGGTTTCTTTCCATCGAGAATAAGTCTTTTCAGCTTTGTTAACCTATCGATTCTTTTCAAGCAACCAGCATTTAGCGACTCCAAATGAAGCCCAAGTTGTTGCAGTTCTGAGCAGTTTTCAATCACAGCATCAATTACTTCAGAATCTATAAGTACCTCTTCGAGTTGAAGTATTTCAATTCGGCGTAGCGTGCGAATAAAGTAACTTAATGCACTAAAATGCGGCACGCTTATATGGCTCAGCTTCAGATTTTTAACGTGAGGTAAATTGAGTTTCAAGAAGGGTTCTATTGAATTGCCGTGGGGATCGAACGAAACCACCGATATCGTTTCTAGTTGTTCGGAAAGTCTGGAAAACAGGTACAGTTGTTCAGGTGTTTCGCAAGTCATCGTCAAATGGCGCAGATTGGGAACTGTTTCCGGTTCAGGTGGTGCGTGAAATGTGAGATACGAAGGCGATAACTGTACCTCATAAAACCTCGTATTGAACTTGAAGATGTCCGGACTTCGTTTGATGGTCAACTTTGTGAGGGACGGAAAATGTTGTGATTCCTCGTCTAGATCGATCACAGCTGACGAGGAACGAATCGATGGCATTTCACCTGCCCATCCCCAGCTCATGAGCCGTCCACGAATTTCAAAAGAAGCAGTTGTCAATGATGGACAAGTGGATAACACTTCTCTCAGAACGATGTTTAGCTTTTCTCGAAAGCAATAGAAATAGAACACCATTTCCAAGTCTATCAAGGCATGCATCGGTCTTAGCAACTGTAGAACCGATTCTAAGCTTTGCTGTCGACACCCTTGAAAAACAAGTCGCACATTTCTGTACGGTCGGTCAGACCCTTGCAAGAACGTGATGGCACTGTTTAGACTATCCAAATTCCGGATATCCAGTGTAATTCGAAGCCTATGCAGGAGATTTGCTGCGAATGCCAATCGATTCCACCGGTGACATACCATTGATGCTGTTAGGCGACTCCGGAAACTCAGCCGGTCGAAGATCAGTAACAGAACCTTGAGAAAAGAAGGATATTGCTGATTAAAGAAACATAAAACATACCAACCCTTTTTAGAAACAAACATCTGAAGATAATTCTGGAAAATCCTGATCTCGTTTCTCGAAATCCATTTTAGTGGTTTTACGGTTGCAAATTGTAAACTAAATGTAGGTTCTGAGTATAAATAACTTGGATGTGAGACGAGATGTATAATGTAAACACAAGCAAAGTAAACAGTCATCAACAAAAACAAGAAAAGTGCATATTTGCATTGATTCATCAGCAAGAACTGCATGCGCCTGTCATTTTCAGTTGCGGGTACACGGCAGCTAAGAGTAACTCAAAATTGAGTCGAATTCGATTGCAAATGTGAGGTTTAGAAATACTCAGAGGGAGAGATGGGCGGAGAAATCAAAATACAACTCGGCAGCAGGGATTTGTATCTAAATTATCTTGCAACCCTTGCTAAAACTTAGCATTTCACATGACTTTTACTTTTGATTCTATTACGTGCAAATTAATAATTGATTGCATCGCAATATTTTGCACATTATTTTGTGCCATTAATTAACCAACTAAGATCAATTAATAAGTAGAGTTAATATATTGTTTTTAATTAAAAAATCTAGTTGAATTTGAGAAACACACGAAACATAAAGTTGATTGAATTTCTGTTCGATTGCAATACTCTCAAATTTAATCTAGTAAGAATAAGAAATCCTCGGAAAAATTCAAATGGGAATGTTCGATTGGCTCAAAACATTCCTTCCGCTTATCTCTCCCTCTGAGTATTTCTAGTGAGGTCTCAGTGGATGGGTAAAATCGAGGGTGAGATTTGAGCTCAAGTCTTTGCTAACCTTTTACACCAGGCCTGTATTAAGTTAAACAACATGAATGCAAAATCATTAATCAAATTGATTTAATTGATAGCAGGATTAGTTTTCCGTTTGATTCAACAGTGTAACATTTTGCTCTCATTTTTGCTGTGTTAACCGTTAAGTCAACCAAAATGAGATCAACTGGAGTATTCAAAATAAGTTACATCATAAGCCTATAGGGGAAATGACGGCTTCGGCATGACAGACTATTTTCGCCAACCCAAATTGAAACACTATTTTCACTGGATTTTCTTATGAAAACACTTCGCTGAATGCATGCAAACGATTCTTTATGCTTTCAGCTTCAATTTGACTATATTTTTACCACTGAGAAAAGCAATCTAGCAGGGTTTTCTTGAAATGAAACACACGCACTACAAATTGTAGCTGATTTCGAGTTGCCGATAATAGAACAGCAGATTTACATGCAGTTCAAATGGAACGGTTGCCGAAGAAAAACTGGTTGCCGACAATACTCGCTCTCGCTAGAGAAGATTGGAGCTTTGTAAAAGCGTTTCAAAACAGTTTTCGACAATTCTTTCGACTGAAATTGTTAGAACAGCAAACAGCAAAAGATTGTAAACAAACCAATACTGCATATGTGTGCGTTCCATAGAGAAAAAGGCTATAGAAGGAAGGTCGCTGCTTAGGTTGCCGAGAATACGTAAATTCCCCTAGTATATACTATAGTATACAGATCGAAGCGAAACCAAAATTGAAGCCCTCGAAAAATCATGAAATTTCGCTACACTGAACGAATTTGACATATTCCTGTTATGTGGAAGTCTAATAAATTTGCGCTATAAGATAATCCATTGAAAATGATATGATTGAAAATGTGTCAGGTAAATTCTATATGAATATCTGATACATTTACAATGCTTATAATTTGGTAACTTTTATATGATCGTCATATGAAAAATGAAAATCGTTTAAATTATAATAATTAACTGAAATGGATTTGAAACTTATAAGCATAAGCTATACTTTTCACCACAATATAATATATGTGTCATAAATCAATCGAAGTAAAGTTTATGTGAAAATAACATGAAATTTACTTCTTCTTTTGACACATATATTTAATCGATTTCTAAAAATAAATTCGAAAAATAAACATCAGGCAGTGGGAGCTTTCACAGTTGTGCCTTTTTTTTTATTGTAGCTGATTTGGGATTCGATCAAGATCTGTTGAGGTGTGATGCTTTCGGTGTCTGTGCTCGATTCCACTGGGCCACGGCTGACTTCAAGATTGAGCTCGTTCAAATAGCATGAAGTAAGAACAGCTCTCCCGACATGGAATGTAGTGCAACTTTATGCTCGTTTTGCTAGAATGAAGACAAATAGCACTGACAAATTTATGTTCCGTTTCGGTGGTGTGGTTTGTTCAAATCTTTCTTAATGCACCTGTGTGCAATAAATCAACGACTAAATTATATGATTTGATAGAACTGGCTCATGAAGTTCGAGTACTACTTAGAGCTGGAATCTGAATTAGCCGTGTAGAAGGCTTACAATAAGAATCATAGCAAAGTAAATATTACAGTAGAATCATTTTTTTTTTCAATCTCAATACATTCTTTTCTGGAACCAATTATCATATGAATGAGTGTACGTTAACATTGTTTCAATAATTTATAAAGAACAATCATGTAAGATGTATTTTATTGGGAGTGATATTCATCCCAGAAAAACATGCAAAAACAAATGCTTGCTGTTGGATTTCTTAAAAGGCATTTCTATATGACTATTTAATGATTGGGATAGATCTGTTTACAATCTGTAAACGTCAAAAATCAAAGCAAGTTATTACAATGAGATATACATGTTTTCCTATACTGCAAAGTTAAATGACAGTCCAATAGTTTCCACATGTCTATTTACACGCGACATATCAACAAACGTCAAAAATCAGTAAAAGCAACTCCAATAAAATATACATGATTATCTTATAAGATATATATTTTAGTGAGCAATATTCATCATGAAAACAGGTATATTTTACTGAATTTTCTTATAGTGCAAACTTATATGATTTTCCATTAGTTTCTAGATGTCTGTTCCCACCCATGACATATCAACAGTTTTTCACCATGAAATATATCAGACAATATTCATATACTTCGTACCTTCGCTAACCACGTTCGAAGCAAAGTATTATCAAGTACTAAGTATGTGAAATTACGGTAGAAATCATTCCATATCGCAGTCATAGTTTTTAAGTGATAATCCAATGGAATCTATCAATCATCACATAGAATGAATATATATGCTGACATTGCTATGTTATAAGATGGATCCAATAAACGGTACATGTCGATTTGTTTCAGTGTAGCGAAAAAGGTTGTGAAAAAATCGACAGTGAGCATGCATAAGAGCGAATACGCGATGATCGATTCTCTTCATCGATTTTCTCTTTGCATTGCTACAGCTAAGCGAAACAATTTTCTAGAATTTGTTCAATGCAGAGTAGTAACAGGTTGTATTGGCTATCAAAAGCAACAGCAAACGCACCGAGAAAAGATAAATCCAGCGAGTTTTTAACATAAGAGAAAATCGACGAAGAGAATCGATCATCGCGTATAGGCCCTTATGCATGCCGAGGGGCTGTAAACTTGAGTATTTTCGATTCATCTACCCGACTTGAAAAGGTGTATTTTGTATTTTTTCGTATTTATGTATTTTTAACTATTGTATATTTTTGTATTTAAGTGTATTAAATTCATTATGAAATGTATTTTTCGTGTACAAATTATTTTCAAGGTATTTTTGAGTATTTTTATTAGGGTATTTTAGTTTCAGTGTGTACGCATTTACGTATTTTTTTATGTATTTTCCGAAGTGTGTATTTACAATTCACCTGATTTATGAAGTTGATCGCCCCTCGATGCATGCTTACTGTCGAAATGTTTGTGGAACATTTTCCAGTTTACTTTTTTTTGCAGTTTACAGTTAATGTGAAACGAAATCGATCAGTTTACACCTCCGGTGAAGTGAAAATATGACAGATACGCTCTTTCTCGAAACGTCAACTTTTCGCTTAGCTGCTGCTCTTTTCGCTAGCGCTGCATGCGCGAAAGAAAAAATAAACGTAAGCGAAAAAGATACGATCCACAAAATTAGATTTCGCTGGATCCTATCTGTTTACCACAAACGAAGTGACAGACGGAGCGGCTCGAAAACTTTGGTGACTAACCTGCTATTGCAATTTTTCAGTGTACCACATGGCAACACCACTACTACTGGATTGTACCACATGGCAACACTACTACTAGATTGAACTAGCATTTTAACCGAATGTACTAGAATGTTTTGGTTCTATCTCTTTCACTCTACTCAAAACTGAAATGCATAAAAAAATGACAAAATGATACGCACACTTTGCACACTGTCAAAGAATCATTGTACACAAAATCAACTTTGTTCAAATCAAAACAAAAAAAAACTAACCCATCTGGTGGATGATGGCACAAGCTTCCAAGAAAATTCTATTACAGTGAACCACATTATTTAAATGGATTTCTTCCCCAGTTAGTCGTCTGTCACTTCGTTTTTGCTTCTAGTCTTAGAGTTACCTCTATGATTCAATCGCCATTGAATTCGACCTATCGGATGAAGACAAAAATTATTTAGTCGAAGCGCTTCTTTCGTTTTTGAGAAAACGCGTACATCGTACGGATTAGGCAAAAGACGTGCGTTTGACTTTATACTGTCGCATTAATCACTTCTATTCAATTTTCATACTGCCGTACTCTAACGGAACTATCCACCTACCATCTTCTAAAGATCATTCTCTAGCTAATCAATTATCACACTAAAGCTTCATGTTAGCATTTCCAACCAACTCTGAAAATCGCTAACTTCGCGTATGAAGTAACATAAAAAACACTTTGAATAAAATATTTGATATAAGTATTAGATTTGAATATTTGATTTGATATTAATCTTGGCTAACGGTTTTTCGTAACTCTTCTAGAGTCTTTGTGAATATTAGAACGTCGTCTATATATACAATCAACCCCGAACATTAGCCTGGTGAACCAGAACATACCGCTCTCGGAAAGAAAAGTGGTGAGATCACGTGATTTGTTATGCAGTTCAAGGTGATAGAACGCGTTGCTCAGATCAGCTATTAGAGAATGACGTAAATACCACCGGTTGGAAACTAACGATTTCAAATTGGCTCACTACTTGACTAGCCTATTGGTCCCAAGCAAATCGATTCCCCATTCTAGTCGAAATTCTAGTACTACACTATGTTTGATTTGATTCGCTATGCAAGTTTGACAGATAAAATAAGGGGTTCGTGGATTTTCCAATGTTTCGAGGGTTGCATCGATTAGCTTGGGACCGAAGAGAGTACCAGAGTTGAGCCAAA